ACAACAGTTGATATCGTACATGTAATTTGATTGAGGTGTCGCCGCTCCTGCCCAACCAGTTACCCCGCCATACTGACCTTATCATCTCCTGTGACATATTATCCTGATAGCGTCGGTAATCTCCTGGTGAGGCTACCGGGCCCTTAATTGTGAGATTGCGAATTTTGGGGTTCGATCTTCAGATTGGTCCGACGCTGTATCCTTGGGAGAGACACCTTACACGCATTTTCCCGTTTGGCTTGGTCCTTTCGGAGATGAACATTAAATTCGGAGAGCCTGCCTCTTCAGTTACTTTACAGTGTTGCAATAGGCGTGATATAAGCCTATTGTTTCTTTTTACGCATTGTACGTCCACAGCAGAATGGTACCCTCCAACAACGACCTCTACTTTTTCATTAGCTGCTTTCCGTGTCCAGGTTGCATCCATCAGCTCTCTGATGCCATCTTGCCACCTTTTTCTGGTCCTCCTCTTTATTTTTTTTCCAGTGGGTGGTTGGAGGGCGCCACTGGTAAGTCCTGCTTCTTTACTTTCCCCCTGTTGCTTCTGTTTGTCTGTCTGTCTGTCTTACTTTTTCCCAGCACTAAATGACCATTATTGTGTCGACGTGCGTCTCTTTACTCATACAAATAAACAGTGTCTTTTTCCTGTTCTTTGCCTTCATTCAGTGCACCGTTGAACTTAAATAATAATATACATGTTCCATCTTATGCAGTTGCAAGCGCCGTAAAGCCTTACTAAAACAAACATACGTGTACCATAATTAGGTGTCTATTTCATGTTACAGATCATAGCGTCGGAGCCGGTGAAGGTGTGGATGAAGCTCCGCGTGTACATCTCTCAGCTGTGGAACATTCTAGACACGCTCGGCATTAGCATGTTCGCCGCCGGCCTCGTGCTCCGCTGTATCCCGTCCACCCTACGAGATGGCCAGCTCGTCTACACCGTGGACATCATCTTCTGGAACATTCGCATCCTGGAGATCCTCTCCGTAAACAAGTACCTGGGGCCTTACGTGAAGATCATTGGCAAACTGGTGAGTGGTTTATATTGATTCTCTCTGTCTGTCTGGCTGGCTCTCTCTCTCTCTCTCTCTCTCTC